CAATCCAGAGCCATCCCCTGACTGCACAGGAAGGAGATTAAGCCAGGCCCCTCAGCTGTGGCCACAGGTAAATGTGGACTCAGAGCCAGGCTTCTAGACTTCAAGTCTAGTAATCTCAACGCCAAATCACACTTGCATGACTTCTCCTGAGTATTCTAAATAGGCTCCCTTTACAAAAATCCAAATAAAAATTAATAGATAAACCATATTGCAAAAGAAGTCTCTAGTGCTTGCCTTTAAATAGTTGAGGGTTCCTCTGGTTCTTAGAAACAGCTCAATTTATTGAAATGTGATAGAGATACATGACAGATTGACAGATAAAATATGTTAAGAAATCAGCATAGTACGCAAAAGAGGTGTATCAGGCTGTTGAACGATCGGCAGATGGTTATCACACAAGAATCTTTCCAACAAGGCATCTAAGCAACTGCCAGACAGTCCTGGCAATACTTGACAACACACAAAACACTAAAGAAAAAACGCCAGCCCTCTGAATTTTCTGTCACCAGACTGCACTGAAATCCACTGGCAGCTGCTGAGCCACGGGGTCATTTCACATGAGAAGGTGCCTCTTCCCCCCACGCTGCTCTTCCTTGCATCACTACACTCATGGGGCCACCAGCAAGTTCAACACAGTCACTCCGCAAAGCCTCTTGTTGCCTGGCTCCCAGAGGAGTGCTGTGCTGACAGCAGAGTGCTGTCTGAGGGGCGATGATCTGGAATCCACAGTCCTGGCTTACCCGCCTCTGCCCAAGGGCTTCTGGGAGCAGGAGGAGCTGAGATCAGCCCAGGCCTGTCCTACAGGAGCCTGGGTGAGGGAGTGGAGGTATCAGCGCATAGCCACCGGCAGGAATTTTCTGGGGCCCAAACACAGACACACCCAAAGAGGCACACAGCCTGTACCCAGCAAGCGCCATGCAAAGGGTAGACAGTCAGGAAATGGTCCACTGGGCCAGCCATCCAAATCCACAAGCAACCTGTGGCCACCCACTCATCTCTCAACCTGACACAGGCTGCCCTGGAGGAAGTGACCATCAAAAGATGGGCCTGAAGAGGTGCTGACTTAAGATCCCACTGGCGACACAGCCACTGAGCAGGGAAGGACCCTCGCCTCTCACTTCAGCATCAAGTGACCTCTGACCTCTGGTTCCTGGCTTTAGGATGAAGCCCCTCTGCTCAGCAGCAGCTCCCTCCACGCACCATCCATCTCTCACCCACCTCTGCCAACTCTCCCCTATATCCCATCCCCCACACGGGCACATGCCCTGGGATCCAGCTGTAAGATCATCCCCAATTTCCCACTAGTCCAGGACTCCTGGGTTGCAGGGAACGCACCCCACCCCCACACACACACCACCCACACCAGGGCAGGAGAGAGGGAGCGGCAGAAGCACACCAGTCCGGGAAAAGGCAAGACGCACCGGAAAAGCCGGTTGGATGTTTCTGTTTCAGCGGTAACTGGGGAGTCAGCTCACATTTATCAAAGCCGCTTCAGGGAAATAACCGGTGGCAGAGTCAGAAGCTACAGGCCAGGAGCCCCCCACCCTCCAGGCTGAGTTAAGGGGCCTCCTCATCGTTCCAGCACAGTGCAGTTGAGGAGAGCAATGCCTAGTCACTCCTCTGCAGCTCCCCAGCACACGGCAGTATGGGTCTGAGGCCTCCCCAAAGGTCAAAGCTGCCCCACTGGTCAGCTCTTTCAATACCCCATCCCTAGGTACTGTTGTTATTCCCAGAAGTAATGCCAATCCAAAATTACTTTCCACACCTGCCACAGGCTGGGGCCACCTGCCCTGAGACACTGACCACCAGCCTGGTTCAGTCACCACACATGCCAGAGATGGGCCCTGCAGGACAGTGTGGCAGTCACTTCCCGCACCAAACAATGCTACCTGCCTAGACAGGCCTGTGGGCCTCAAAGCAGCACATGGGAAGCCCTGGACAGGCCAGAAGCTTCCCATTCCAAGCCGGGAGAGTTCTTAAGGCTAGGCATGAGAATCTACTCGGGGCGTTTTTCAAACACCATGGTGGGTTCAATCCCCACAGAGCTGGATGAAGGTCTAGGAGAACCTGGGCTTCAGTTTGTTTTTTTGGTTTTTTTTATTTTTGAGATAGAGTCTCGCTCTGTCGCCCAGGCTGGAGTGCAGCGGCACAATCTCGGCTCACTGCAAGCTGTACCTCCCGGGTTCTCGCCATTCTCCTACCTCAGCCTCCCAAGTAGCTGGGACTACAGGTGCCCACTACCACGTCCAGCTAATTTTTTGTATTTTTAGTAGAAACGGGGTTTCACCATGTTAGCCAGGATGGTCTCGATCCCCTGACGTCGTGATCCGCCCGCCTTGGGCCTCCCGAAGTGCTGGGATTACAGGCATGAGCCACCGCGCCCAGCTGGCTTCAGTATTTCTTACAATGCACCCCCCCGTTGAAAAACATTGGTTTAAAGAAAACAAAAACAAACCACCTGAGCACTGGAAGATCCTCGAGTCTCAACAACACAGATGTGTGCCCACAGCAGTCCACAGCCTAGACCCCAGCCGTGGAGGCCTCCCACTCACTCAGCTCTTCCGAAAGCCACTAGGACCAGGACAAGAGAATGAGCAAAACAGGCCTCTAGACTGCCCAGGGAGAAGCTAGAAAAGCTGCAGGCTGTACTCATGGCGCAGGGGCCTCCAGGTACCATTTCCCCTTCTCTAGACAGACTAGCCCCAGGGTTGGGGGTCCCCAGTGTCAGAAAGGAGTTATGGTCCCGCTACTAGAGGCGGGCACCCTCCCAACATCAAGAGGCCATGGGGTAAGCCCACTGCTAAGCACAAGGTTTCCAGCATGTTGTACCCATGTCTCGGAGGAGCTGCCCCTGGGATTCTGCCCCATTTCGGCTGCTCCGCCAGATACCTGAGAGGGATAAACATACAATGCAGAGTGTGACCCTCTTCCTACCACCCACCACCAGCAAGACTGTGCACAGAGCCTGCATTTCCTCAGCTATGGGGAAAAAGGGCAGACACTGGCATATAGGGAAAAAACCAAAGGCAATAGTGAGGAAAAGACAGGAAAACTGGGTTGCTGATGCCAAAACAAACGATCCCTAATGAATCCTCTTTCTCCCTGAAAAAGGCACTGCCAGCCAGGCGCAGTGGCTCACGCCTGGAATCCCAGCACTTTGGAAAGCCGAGATAGGTGGCTCACAAGGTCAGGCGTTCAAGACGAGCCTGACCAACATGGTGGAACCCCATCTCTACTAAAAATACAAAAATTAGCCGGGCGGGATGGTACACACCTGTAATCCCAGCTACTAGGGAGGCTGAGGCACAAGAATCACTTCAACCCAGGAGGCAGAGGTAGCAATGAGCTGAGATCACGACCACTGCACTCCAGGGCCTGGGAAACAGAGCAAGACTCATCTCAAAGAAAAAAAAAAGCGTTGGGGCCGGGGGCGCAGTGGCTCAAGCCTGTAATCCCAGGCACTTTGCAGGGGCCGCGGGTGGATCACGAGGTCAGGAATCGAGGACCGCATCCTGGCTAACATGGGTTGAAATCCGTCTGCTCTAAAAATAACAAACAATTAGCCCGGGCCGGCCGCGGTGTCGGCGCCTGTGTAAAGTCCCAGCTCGTCGGAAGGCTGAGGCGAAGCGATGGGCGGTAAACACGGGAGGCGGAGCTTGCACGTGAGGTGCTTGAGATCCGCCATCTGCCTCCAGCGCTGGCGGGACAGGAGCAAGACTCTGTCTCCCAAAAAAAAAAAAGAAGCAGTTGCCAGCAAGCAGGAACTCTGACCATCAAGACAAGGCTAGGGCGGAGGGCTGTGGTGGCTCACGCTATGATCCCAGCGTGGGAGGCCAAGGTGGGCGGATCACTCAAGTTGGGAGTTTTGGACAGTACTGACCAACATGGGAAGAAACCCAATCTCTACTAAAAATAAATTGAAATGTAGGCGGGGCGCGGTGGCTCAGCCTTGTAATCCCCAGCACTGTTGGGGAGGCCAAGACGGGCCAGAATCATGAGGTCATGGAGACGGGAGACCATCTGGCTAACACGAGTGGAAACCCTGTCTCTACTAAAAAATACAAAACGAATGAATAAGCCGGCAAGCGTGGCGAGCGGCCTACGAGTCCAGGCTACTCGGGAGGCTGGGGCACGAGAATGGCGTAAACCCTGGAGCGGGAGCGTATGCCGTGAGGCTGAGATCTGGCACTGCACTCCAGCCTGGGGCGACAGAGCAAGTTACTCTCCATCTCACAGAAAAAAAAAATAAAAATAAAAATAGAAAAGTAGCCAGGCGTGGTGGTACAGGCCTGTAATCCCAGCTATTCGGGAGGCTGAGGCAGGAGAATCACTTGAACCCAGGAGGAGGAGGTTGTGGTGAACCAAGATTGCGCCATTGCACTCCAGCCGGGGCAACGAGAGCAACATTCTGTCTCACGGCTAAGGCATGTTCCTCTCCATCTCTTAGGAGAGGTTACGTCACCACATCTTTACAACAGCCACCAAATGATGTGACCATATATGGTTTTTGATGCATAAAAGAGACGGATTTTACACAACTGAAATTCACTTCTGGGGAGGCAAGGCAGGCAGACCACTTGAACTCAGGAGTTCAAAACCAGCCTGGGTAACATGGTAAACTCCCATCTCTACAAAAATACAAAAAATTAGCTAGACGTGGTGGCACATGCCTGTAGTCCCAGCTACTCAGGAGGCTAAGGTGGGAGGACTGCTTGAACCGGGAAGTGGAGGTTGCAGTGAACTGAGATCATACTACTGCACTTCAGCCTGGCAAACAGAGCAAGACTGCCTCGGAAAAAAAAAAAAAAATCCACTTGGGGAGATGAATGCTCTCCTCTCCCCAAGTCATGGGACAGCTATGCTGTGCCTGCAAGGGCTGCTGGGAAGGTAAGAAGGGAGAAGTGCAGTGCTCTAACAGGCAGGTGCCAGGGCTCCCCCACCCCCTGCCCGTGCTTGTGGCTGTCCCACGCTGGGCCGTCCTCCAGCCAGCTGCTGCGCACCTTTGGCATGGAACGTCCAGCCCCTCCGCCAGTACTCCTGCAGCTGGACCCGCTCCTGCTGTCCCAGGCTGCACACCTCGCTGTAGAACTGCCGCTCGATGTGCACATAGGCCGCTGGGATGGCGCCAGCCACTCCCTTGGCCCCAAAGAAGCCATTCACCTCTGGTGAGGCCAGCAGGATTTGGTACTCAGCCCGAGTGCCCAAGACCAGGTCCATGTAGGCCTGGGTCAGGTTGAAGTAGCCAGTGGTGAGGTAGACCTTTGCACCACGCTCCGCCTCAGTCAACAGGGTCTCAGTGACAATCTCATCGATTTGAATCTCGAAGGGCTTCATCTGAATCAGCGGATAAATCCAGGTGTCAGGGGCTGGTCTGCGATCCCCAGCAGCTGCTGCATCTTCCTGGGTCAAAAGGGAGTTGCTGTGGAAGGTCTGGGCATGCAGCATCTGCTGGCGGGTCCTGGCTGAGTTGATCACATCCATGACCCTCTTATTGGCTGCCTTGCAGTACTCGGCCCGGTCACCTAGAGGAAGACGTGAGAGAGGAGTGAAGGGAAGAGAAAGAAAGGATCTAGATTCTGCCCAGCTCAGGGGACGGGGCATGTGACAGGCAGGTGCAGATGCTACAACTGGATGTTCACTGAACACACGCTGAGTGGGCCCAGGACTCCAAGCCCAGAGCGAGGCTCCTCTGGGGATACAGTCTGCCCAAGACAAGGGCCTGGCCCACAGCAGCCCACACTCAGGCAGAAGTGAAAGCCATGTCAACCTATCAGTCCAATTACAAACAAGTTTAAACCCAGGCAAGACAAACTGACAGGGGGAGAAATCAGGATAGTGGTTACCTTGGGGGTAATTCCTTGCAGGGGCACATACAGGGGGCCCCCAGGAAGCGGATCCACTAGGAACAGGTTCATGGCTGTATACTTACGACTGGCGCTCGGGGTGCATGTTCTACTTCAATAAGGAAGCTCAGTCAAATAAAGACATACAAGTATAACCAAAAAAGGAGCATGCGTATTCCACGGATGGGGTCACAGGGAAAGCCTTGGATAAACACCATCAGCTTGGATAAGCACATCACCAGGTGGGAAAGCTTCCCACAGCAGTGACAGCTCCTGGGAGAGAGGAAGAATGGGCAGGCTCAGGCTCTGCATGGGGTGCCCTTTGTATTCGGACAAGACACTGGTGACAGGTAACCATGCTGACACACTGAAGGGAAAGATGCTACTATCAGACAAGACAAAGCTGAGAATTAATCAGTTAAGCACCCAACTCAAGAAGACAGGGGAAAGAAACAACAGAATATAACCATGAATACAGTATAGGGAAGCAAAAATAAAGAACAGGCCAGGCACAGTGGCTCACGCCTGTAAACCCAGCACAGCACTTTGGGAGGCCGGGGCAGGCAGATCACCTGAGGCCAGGAGTTTGAGACCAGCCTGGCCAACACGGTGAAACCCTGTCTCTACCAAGAGTACAAACATGGCCGGGCGCGGTGGCTCAAGCCTGTAATCCCAGCACTTTGGGAGGCCGAGACGGGTGGATCACGAGGTCAGGAGATCAAGACCATCCTGGCTAACACGGTGAAACCCCGTCTCCACTAAAAAATACAAAAAAAAACTAGCCGGGCGAAGCGGCGGGCGCCTGTAGTCCCAGCTACTCGGGAGGCTGAGGCGGGAGAATGGCGTGAACCTGGGAGGCGGAGCTTGCAGTGAGCTGAGATCCGGCCACTGCACTCCAGCCTGGGCGACAGAGCAAGACTCTGTCTCAAAAAAAAAAAAAAAAAAGAGTACAAACATTAGCCAGGTGTGGAGGTGTATGCCTGTAACCCCAGCTACTTGGGTGGCTGTGGCTGGAGAATCACTTGAACCTGAGAGGCAGGGGTTGCAGTGAGCTGAGATCGTGCCACCGTACTCCCGCCTGGGTGACAAGAGCAAAAAACTCCATCTCAAAAAATACATATATGTGTGTGTGTGTACATATATGTGAGTGTGTGTGTGTGTATGTGTGTATATATATACACACATATATGTGTGTATGTGTGTGTGTATGTGTGTAAATAAGAATAGAAATTACTAGAATGAAAACGATACAAAAATGGAGAAAGTCGACTGTCTGACAAAGGACTGACAAGACAACAAGGCTTTGGCGAGGCTGGTGAGGGAAGTGAAACAGGGAAGGAGGGCTGTCCCGGGCCATCCTGCCGGCTTGCACGGTCTGAGCTGAGAGCAGGGACAGACACTCGGTGCCTTTCAGGGCTGGGCTCCAGAACAAAGAGAAGGACCAGCCCATGCAGGAGTCTGGACTGTCGATGCCAGCGCCCTCCGGGGAGAAAGGAGTCACACTGCCGCACGCTGGACGGGGCTGCGGGAGGGAGGAGCGCCGGGGCCCTGAGCACACCCTGAACCTCTCTGTGGACTCACATTCTCCCAAGCACAGCTGGGCTCGAGTCTCCCCACTCCTGCTCCGAGCGTGCTGGCTCTCATCCTGGCCTAAGCACGGCCCGTTTTCTCTCATATCCATGCCTGGCCCGTTACATTAGACCAGGGATCCAAATACATTTTCTTTAAGGGTCAGATGGTAAATATTTTAGGCTTTCTGGGCCAAAAGGCAGAGCTGAGGACGCTAGGCAGGCACTCAGCAAGAGAGATGCAGAGCTCCACAAGCTCTTTATGGATGAAATTCAAAATACACCAGTAGTAACTGAGCATGGCGGCGGGCAGAGCATCACACCATCACAGTCGGGCTCTGAGGCCCAGGGCTCCCCTAACACAAGGACAGGGCTTCCACCAGATGGCCCACTTAAATGCTTCCATTCTAGGTCCACAAGACGCGGAGAGTTCTTCTCCCAACAAGGTCCAAGTTCAGCTCCTCCTCCCCAAGTTCAAATCCAGCAAATTCAGCAGCAGCCCTCTAAAGGCCATGGGGGAGCCACAGCCACAGGAATCACAGGAATGCAAATGGCCTGGAACACTCACGCCAGGACCTGCCTGGATCCAGTGGGCAGATCTGAGAGCTCTTACACTTCACTTTCCAGGCAGGGGGCCACAGAGCTCAAGGGAGCTGGAAGTCACAGGCACAAGTGACAAGCTTGGGGAAATGGGCCCTAGGCGAACAGCCGCTGGCCTGGTTGCTTCCTGTGATGCAGGGCAGGCTCCTGGGTCACTCGCCCAGGCACACGTGTTCATTGCTGAGTAGCTACTTGTTAACTGCATCCTGACCTGAGTTTGTCACCCGCCCCCGCTAGTTCACCTGAGACCTGGGTCACCAGGTCACGCCGCTGCATACCCTTGCCTGAGTCCTCCTCACCTGCATCTTCCCTCCCACACTCCCGCCTTCCTGGGCCGGCTCTCTCACCCACAGAGCATGACTGATGGCCAGTGAGTCACATCTGTCTGGCTTTTTTAAGGCCAAAAGCAGAATGAAGCCCTCCCACCCAAGATCCCTATGCCTGTGGCAAGGCGACCCACAGGTGTGCTCTCCTGGGCCCTCACTCCACCCCACCCACAGCCACAGAAGGGTGTCAGCGGCAGCCCCTACCTTTGTAAGGATGCACCATCCCATCCACCACCTGCACCGTGTCGTCCCCCTGCAGCTGCAGGGACACATCCCCCACCGCGTCCACCAGCTCCGTGAAGAAGTCGGCAATCTCCACGCAGTCCTGCAGGAACACGTAGCGGTCCTGGCGGTTGGTGAAGTAGGAGTCACTCAGGTTTGCACTACAGGGATGGAAGACGCAGGTTCTCAGGTGAACTAGCAGGGGGGTGACAAACTCAGGTCAACATGCAGTTAACAAATAGCTACTCAGCAATGAATACATGCAAGAGACAAAGCCAGAGTCGATCCAAGGTGACCCAGCGAGTGACCCACAGGCTCCTCCTCTCAAGGAGCTGACAATCTAGCTGAGAAGAGGAGATGCAGACACAGAAAGTCAGCTAACCACGCAGGGCTTTTGTTTGCTTGTTTGTCCTGAGACAGCCTCATTCTGTCGCCCAGGCTGGACTATAGTGGCATGATCTTGGCTCCCTACAGCCTCCGCCTCCCAGGTTGAAGTGATCCTCCTGCCTCAGCCTCCTGAGTAGCTGGGGGTTACAGGCATGCACCACCACACCCAGCTAATTTTTGTACTTTTAGTAGAGACGGGGCTTCACCATGTTGGCCGGGCTGGTCTTGAACTTCTAACGTCAGGTGATCCCTCTGCCTCAGCCTCCCAAAGTGTGGGATTATAGGCGTGAGCCACTACGCCCGGCCCATGCAGGGCTATTTATCAGTGCCCATGTTTGTTTGTTTTCTCTGTCCCACTAAGTGACAGCTGCCACTGATACCGTCCCAGAGCAAGGATGCAATCAAGGGCTTTCTCTCAGCACCAGCAACCCAATCCTGGTCCCACTGCCGAGGGGAGGGCCTGTGAAAGGGCCCGCATTTATCAACCCAAGGACCTGGACTTCCAGGTCTGACTCTTGTTTATTTTTCTGGCTCTGTCTACCTGACAAAGTGACTCATCCTCTCTGATCTGTTTCCACATGTACACAGTGAGGAAAATACCACAGAGGGTCACTGGGGGTGGGAACAGACAACACACCTGAGTGGCCAGCACATGCTAAGTGCCCAATCAACAGTGGCTTCCAGTCAGTCCCTGGGGGTTTCCAGCCTCAGTGGCAGAGACAGTGCCAGGGAGGTGCTGCGGGTGCACAGCAACCAGACCTACAAGCAGGTTCTCCAAGGCTGAGGGGAATGGGTTTCCCACTGTTCCTATTCCACTGCCCTCCAGCCTGCAGAGCAGGAAGGCAAAAGCACCGGCGGTGGGAAGCACTCACCCGCTCAAGATGACGCTGTTGTCGAAGAGATACACCTTAATGTGCTGCAGGCCAATGGTCTCGTTGAAGCGCTCAGGGATGAGGAGCCGGAGCAGGCCGCGGAGGTGCGGCGTGTGAAAGAGGGAGACTCGGACCTGCTCTGGGAACCTCTGCAGAAGTGGGAGCAGCATCGTGCGGGAGTTCTTCCGGCCTGAACACAGGACAGAGAAAGCGGCCGTTGACTCACAACAGGAAGGCATCCTGCCTCCAGTGAGGAGCCACCTCCACGTGGCCTCGCCTTCACCTGCGCCGTCCAACTGAATCATTCACACCAACTGGGGCTACTCCTAGCCAGGGGACTCCCGGGCCAACCTCTGTCCTGTATGCTGGCCACATCTCAGGCCTGGAGTGCTCAGCATGGCAGATGCCTGCTCTTTTTGCCACCCAGCACCCATTCACCCTCCTCCTGGTAACTGCACCCAACCTCCTCCTGGGGCACTACCCCACCCACTCTCAGCATTTCTGCTCTGGGAGACGACCCTACCCACCTTGCCCCTCACCCCCAGCTCCACGGGGGAGCACACAGGCCTGGGCTGGACTATTCGGCACAGTCCAAGCTCCCGGCTGGGCACGCCACCGTCAGGCCACTCAGGAACTTTGACCGAATTCTCAGGAAACCAGACTCTTTCAAAGGACAAGGTATCATAGGGAGACAAGCCTAAGCCACCAGGGGTCACCACACAGAGCCTGAGAAGGAAGCCAGGCCAAAGAAAACAGCTACGGCATGGATCCTGGCGACACAGCCAAACCCCAAATCACAAGCCACCCAAAGCAGATCAGTCACAGGAGTCCAAAAAAGTCTTTTTGCCTAAGGCAGTTTTTCAAGAGACAAAGTCTGGCTACATTGCCCAGGCTGGACTCAAACTCCCAGCTCAAGCAGTCCTCCCACCTCAGCCTCCCAGGCAGGTGGGACCACAGGGCGTGCCACTGACTCGGCTCCTGCCTAAGCTGATTTTAGTTGGGCTTTCAGTCACTTGCTGCAGAAAAAAATCCTAACTCACACAATCAGGCATCCTGGGCCAGCTTGGATGATCTTCAAATAGCCTTGTCTCTGCCTGGGGACGAGGGGGTGACAGTAACTCCTCTTGGAACTGAGGATCTGACACAGGAAGCATGAGGGGCCAGGCGTGCATGCCACCTACCTCGTGAGCCCCGCGTGAAGTCTAAGAGAATGGAGACCTTGAGATTTGAAGGAAACTTTGCTTGGAGTGACTTTTCTAGAGTACTTTCCAGGCAGTCCACCTACCAAGAAAGAACACAGAAGAAGAGAAGATTAAGACCCAAAGAGGTGTGAGTATTTAAAGAAAAACAAAACGCCCCATCGGCTAGTGCTCTCGTCATCTTCTCCAAAGACAGGTTTGTGCCATCAGCACTCGGACACCAACACCACAAAAACTCTCTGTCTGAGAGCCCCTTCTTGATCATCAGAAGCAGCACCCAGGGGCCCTGATCGGCCCAAGCCTCCAGGAATGGAAGGGGACCTGCAGGCAGGCAGGCCCATGCCACCCTGGAAACGCTACCACACCAGGTCCCACGTACATTTCAACACAGACAATCCTCACAGACAAAACAAACAGTGCCCTCCTCGTAAAGAGCACTTAGTAAATATTTGCCAAATGAATGAATCCAAGACACGGCCTGCCCACTGGCCACTCTCCGCAGTGCAGACATTCCATTCTTCTCCCGTGAGAACACACAGGCTCCCAGGCTTGGAGGGGAGGGTATATCCTTAAAAGAGAGGGAGGTGGCCAGGCGTGGGGCCTCACGCCTGTAATCCCAGCACTTTGGGAGGCCGAGGTGGGCAGATCCCCTGAGGTCAGGAGTTCAAGACCAGCCTGACCAACATGGAGACCAACATGGAGAAATCCCATCTCTACTAAAAATACAAAATTAGTCGCGGTGGTGGCGCATGCCTGTAATCCCAGCTACTCGGGAGGCTGAGGCAGGAGAATCACTTGAACCCCGGAGGAGGAGGATGTGGTGAGCCAAGATGGCGCCACTGCATTCCAGCCTGGGCAACAAGAGTGAAACTCTGTCTCAAAAAAAAAAAAAAAAAAAGAGGGAGGCCTCCTTCTTAGGAGAGGCAGAGAGGGGAGGACGGCTCATATGAACCCATTGCCCCTCCCTCTCCACACTCCAATCCCTATAGCTCCCACCTGTAACTCTGAACAAGGACAGACCAAGAAATGGCACTAACTCTGGGCAATGGGCCCATCCGTTTCACTATATGGAGCGGAAAGCAATCCCAGGAGACCAAGAGAAAGACGTGATCTCACTCACTGACTCACTTCAGCTGAGCCTCAGCTCCCGCCACACACCAGAAGCTGCGCTGGCCCCAACAGCTCATACAAACCTGGGGACTGCTGGCTCCTTCCCACCCACCTATCTCACTGTAAGTGACAAGGATGGCACAACAGCAAGTCCAAGGGGAACAGGGCTGGCAGCAGCCCTGGCACTTGACACCAGCCCGTGGCAGAACCAGCCAGCCAGCCCAACTTGCACTCAGGTCCGTTTGTCCAGTACAGGGTCAGAAAGCCTTTTGTGTCAACAGCCAGAGAGTAAATATTTGGAGCTTTACAGACCAGATCGGCGCTGTCACAACTACCCAGTTCTGCCGCTGCAGCATGAAACTGACCACAGATAACAGGCGAATGAGTGTGGCTGTGCTCCAACAAAATTTTATTTACCAATACAGAAATTTAAAGTTTTCGTAAGTCATAAAATACTAATTTTTTTCTTTCCCAATTATTTGAAAATGTAAAAACCATTCTTTCTTAGCTCACAGGTCACACCGTAACAGGTGGCAGGTCAGATTTTGCCTGCAGGCCACAGTCGGCCAAGCCCTGAACTGGCAGGCAGAGCTGCCTGGGACCCTGTGTGAGTAGGAGGACACTGCCAGTGAGGCCAAGAAGGCCCAGACCAGGCCTCCCCACGCTCTCCTCACCAGGCCCTCCCGACATGCCCACATCTGGGGCAACAAAAGTAAGAGCTGGCTCTGACATGGAGGCCAAGGAAAGGCAGCTCCACACCAACTCCATGGCACAAAAAGCTGTGGCACGTTGGGGCCCATTCACTACTGCTACCAGGACCATCTCCCCATAAACCTTACCAGTTCCTGTTCCAAAGGACCTGTCCCCAGGTAGAGGGATGCCATCACGACCCGCCTCTTGGCCACTCTTATCTGCCCCTGAGAGAGGAGAAAAATCCAAAATTCAAATTTATCATTTTCATGGTTCACTAAGAAAACAGAACCCTTTGACCTGGCAGGCAAATCCTACTCCAAGCTGAACTATCCTATGTCTTTGCCAATTAATATTTAAAGCAAGCTCGAAACGTGTATGGTAACCTCCCAAATAAGTTCCCACAATCCTAAAAGAAAATAGCCTGCAAAGTAAAGCAAAGTCTAGGCCAACTATAAAATGCAACACGGCCATTAAGAAGAATGAAGGCAGGCTGGGTGTAATGGCTCACGCCTATAATCCCAGTACTCTAGGAGGCCGAGGCAGGCAGATCGTTTGAAGCCAGGAGTTCGAGACCAACGTGGCCAACATGGCAAAACCCTGTCTCTACTAAAAACATAAAGATTAGCCAGACCATGGTGGCGCAGGCCTGTAATCCCAGCTACTCAGGAGGCTGAGGCAGAAGAATCACTTGAACCCAGGAGGCAGAGGTTGCAATGAGCTGTGATCACACCACTGCACTCCAGCCTGGGCAACAGAGCAAGATTCCGTCTCGAAACAAAGAATGAAGGCAATCTACGCACACTGCCACGAATGTCCACAATGGATTGCTGAGCCACAAGCAAATGACCTGTGCTCCCACCTCCTACACCTCACTCCTGCACAAAGCATGCAAGCGCGCGCACATGTGCGTGTGTGTGTATGTGTGTGTGTGTTTGTGTGTCTGCAGAAGCATGGAGAGTACACAGCAAACTGTCCTCCAAAAAGCAGAGCTCAAAGGAAGGGGAATATGGACACAAACCTGCCCTCTTTACCTTCTACCCATCTGCACAGTTTCCAATGTCCATATTCAGCATGCACCACTCTTGAAATGTAGATGGACAGGTATACAGACACGTGAGCGGAACACACCAGTGCCCCAACATGACACCCCAAATCAGTCCTAACAGCCAGGGGCCTCTCCCTAGCAGTCCCACCCCAGAGAAGGAGGCAGGGGTACAAAGAATGGCAGGGGTACAAAGAATGGCAGTGCTACCAAAAGATACACACAGGAGACCCAGGTGAGAGGGAGGCAGCTTCACATCTACCTGCTTCTCTATCAGAAGGAACATCACAGCCCACCCTGCATCGTCAACACAGGATGACAGGCAACTTGACTAGACAGAAACATGAACAATCACTAGGAAAGGCTTCCGGACAAGGAAAAAACAAAGCAACTTCCCAAGGTTGCTATTTCCTTTGTTTTGTTATGAATTAAAATAGATGTTTGTGGGGGTAATGATTACAAAGAAAGGGAAAAATAAATAAGGCATAAGACGCCGGGCGTGGTGGCTCACGCCTGTAATCCCAGCACTTTGGGAGGCCAACGCAGGCAGATCACAAGGTCAGAAGATCGAGACCATCCTGGCTAACACGGTGAAACCCTGTCTCTATTAAAACAAAATACAAAATATTAGCCGGGCGAGGTGGCGGGCGCCTGTAGTCCCAGGTGCTTGGGAGGCTGAGGTAGGAGAATGGCATAAACCCGGGAGGTGGAGCTTGCAGTGAGATGAGATCAAGCCACTGCACTCCAGCCTGGGCGACAAAGCGAGACTCTGTCTCAAAAAAATAATGAAAGAAAGACAGAAAGAAAGACAAAGACAGAAAGAGAGAAAGAGAGAAAGAGAAAAAAGAAAGATTGAGAAAGAAGGCATAAGACAATTTAGTTCAGGCAACCAAAGCATATCTGACTGTATACTACAAGACACCAGGTCCTACAGATGTAGCAAAGGCATGGGGACCAGGCAGAAACCAGCACCGTCCTCCCTTCTCGCTGTGTGCCCTGGGAAGAAACGTGCTACTCAGTGTGACACACACTAGGAGAATCTGCCCACATTTCAGCGCAGACTGCAGGGAAAGGAGGCCCTGGTGTATTCTCCACCTGCTGGGGCAAGCCCTTCTGCCCCTTCCTGCTCTCTGCAGGCCCACCCTCCTCAGGCAGGGCCCGACCTCCTGGCCAGGGGATCACTACATGGAGACAGTCAGTCATCCTCCCAGAGTTGATTAGGACAGAGAAGAATTGCCTTTGAAAAACTTGTTTCTTCAGGCTGGGCACGGTGGCTCACGCCTGCAATCCCAGCACTTTGGGAGGCCGAGGTAGGTAGATCACCTGAGGTCGGGAGTTCGAGACCAGCCTGACCAACATGGAGAAACCCTGTCTCTACTAAAAATATAAATTAGCCAGGCATGGTGGTGCATGCCTGTAATCCCAGCTACTCAGAAGGCTGAGGCAGGAGAATCACTTGAACCCGGAGGTGGAGGTTGTGATGAGCCGAGATCGTGCCATTGCACTCCAGTCCGGGCAAACTCCATCTTAAAAAAAAAAAGAAAAGAAAAGAAAAACCTGTTTCTTCAACTTGAGGAGAGAATCAAGCAGGAGCAAAGAGCCAACAGTTGCAGCACCATTTGGTACAAACAAGGATGCCCAGGACAGGTGAGCAGTGCAGGGAGGCGGATGAGAGGGGAGGACAAAAGGACACGCCTGTGTGCACACACAGAATGCATTCTGAATGAACCTGTCAAGCTAAGTGTGGATCAACAAACAGAACAAAAGCGCAAAAGGAGAGAAAATGGGCAGGCACTCAAATGACTGAGAGTTCATTTTCCACACAAAGGTGAGTCTCTACCTAGATTTCCTATTGTCTCCCAGCATTCTGCCTGCTTGGCCTGGCCCCATCAGACCTTCATTCTTCTTTTTTTTTTTTTTTTTTGAGACAGAGTCTCGCTCTGTTGCCCAGGCTGGAGTGCAATGGCGCGATCTTGGCTCACTGCAACCTCCACCTCCCAGGTTCAAGCAATTCTCCTGCCTCAGCCTCCTGACTAGCTAGGATCACAAGTGTGCACCACCCTTCCGTATTTTTGGTAGAGACAGGGTTTCACCATGTTGACGAGGCTGATCTCTAACTCCTGACCTCAGGTGATCCATCCGCCTCAGCCTCCCAAAGTGCTGGGATTACAGGCGTGAGCCACCATGCCTGGCCTAGACCTTCATTCTAATATCATTGCTAATACAAACTCATAGTTCATGCTGTTAAAAATTAATTAGTGTTGAATTACTTCATTCCAATTAGCAGTTTAACCAGAATAACTAGATGTGGCATGCAAACCTGAGTAACACGTTGAAAGCTGAACCCCCAAATGCAAAACTTACATCACTACCAGGAGAGGAAAGGCACACACTTAAGACAGAGTCCCTAAAGAATCAAGAGTACGCCGGGCGCGGTGGCTCAAGCCTGTAATCCCAGCACTTTGGGAGGCCGAGACGGGCGGATCACGAGGACAGGAGATCAAGACCATCCTGGCTAACACGGTGAAACCCCATCTCTACTAAAAATACAAAACACTAGCCGGGCTCGGTGGCCAGCGCCTGTAGTCCCAGCTACTGGGGAGGCTGAGGCAGGAGAATGGTGTGAACCCAGGGGGCGGAGCTTGCAGTGAGCGGAGATCCGGCCACTGCACTCCAGCCTGGGCGACAGAGCGAGACTCCGTCTCAAAAAAAAAAAAGAATCAAGACTACAAGGCTTAGACCCAGGATGTCTAAATTCCCCGTTACTTTGAAAGGCCTCTTCATGCATATCAAATCGCACCCACGAGTTTTTACTTCCTATTACATCTACCAAGATGACACTCATACTGTGTTTGGAGATGATTCCAGGGTTAGGGGTCCATCATGCACAGACTAGATAAAGATGCCCTCCTGCCCTGTCACCTTTAGCAAGGACATACCCGTGTGGCCCACGGGTCCTCAGTCCTCACTAACCTCCCTTCTCGTGGTCACAACTTCACCGTGGAACAAAAGGAATCAGTGCACCCATAAGAATCAAAGTCTAGGCCCGTGGCCGCACACGGTGGCCAGTACTTTGGGAGGCCAAGGCAGGAGGGCCATTTCAGCCCAGTGGTTCAAGACTCGCCTGGGTAACATAGTGAGACCCCTTCTCAAAAATAACAAAATAAATAAATAAAAATAAGGTCTAGTTCCTTGTTCTCACTGTTGCCTTCTCAGAGCTTCTCCACCTGAGACACTGGCCCCACAGGCAAGTTTCTGATTGTGGCTCAGCTCAACCATCCATGAAGCTGAAACCTGACAGGTAAAACCTGGAAGGAAGGAAGAAGCTTGAGCAGCTATCAAAAGTTTCTAGACTAGAAAGCACTCACGACTCACAAACCTAATCCCCCAAAAGCTCTAACTCAAACTTTTTTCCTTTAGATATAACTTACCTTCATGAGCTCAAAAAACTCTGCTGGGGAAGAAAGCACCCTGACGTGAGAACTGGAGACTCCAAATTCTGGAACCAGGTTTCTGATCCACTGGAACCGGTGCACGCCTTCCGGACACAGGCAGCAAGGTGGGGAGGTGACCTGGGGAACAGTGGGGGACAGCAGGGGAGCCAGTAACAGCCATGGTGACCTGGTTAAAGAAATAAGCAACTGGGTCATACCTCAAATACTTCTGCAGAAGCCCCTCTCAGTTACTGGTGGGTGAAGAGGGGCTGGGAGATGGGTGTGTTGTGTTATGAATGTCAGATTTTCTAGAACATTTTCAAAAGTGAGCCCAACTCAAGCCCTGCTAAAGGATTTTTCCTTCGGCCTTTCCTCTTATTCCTTAAAAAGCCTACTAATTGAGCAACTTGAGAAGTGTCAGTACCTATAGATAAACCCCAAACTTTAATTCCAAACAACTCAGGAACCAAATTTAGAGCATTCACAAGTAAACTCATAAAAGCTACCACATGGTTTGCCACCATATGGCAACCTTCTAATGAATCTACCTCAAAAAAATGTGCCTGCAGCCACCACTAAAAGACACCGAGCAGAAGGGTAAGTGTGGCAGAAGTCTCATGATTACAGCCCAGACGCCCCACTTTATGACTCATGAGATAAACAAGATTTCTACTCAAGGAAGTACCCAGAAAAAGAAACTTTTCTCTTTAAAAATCCAATTTATGCTGAGCATGATGGTTCAGGCCTATAATCCCTGCACTTTGGGAGGCCAAGGCAGGATGACTGCTTGAATCCAGGAGTTCAGGACCAGCCTGGGCAATATAGCAGGACCCAGTGTCTACAAAAAATTGTTTAAAATTAGCTGGGCAGGCAGGGCACAGTGGCTCACACCTGTAATCCCAACACTTTGGGAGGCCAAGGCAGGTAGATAACCAGAGATCAGGCGTTCGAGACCAGCCTGACCAATATGGTGAAACCCCATCTCTACTAAAAATACAAAAATCAGCTGGGCGTGGTGGTGTGTGACTGTAGCCCCAGCTACTCGAGAGGCTAAAGCAGAAGAATCGCTTGAACCAAGGAGGTAGAGGTTGCAGTGAGCCAAGATCGCACCACTGCACCCCAGCCTGGGTGACAGAACAAGACCCTGTCTCAAAAAAAAGTTAACTGGTCATGGTAGCACACACCTGTAGTCCCAGCTACTCAAGAGGCTGAGGCAGGAGGATCTCCTGAGCCTAAGAGTTCAAGGCTGTTCTCCCAGCTCTGATCATGCCATTGCATTCCAGCCGGGGTGACACAGCAAGACCCTGTCTCAATCAATCAAAATCAGACTTGGAAAGAAAAGCTGGAGCAGGGAGAGAAGGGAGAAAATGAGCCCCTCTCAAGAGTAATGATGAACCGTGGCCGGCCACGGTGGCTCACGCCTGTAATCCCACCACTTCGGGAGGCTGAGGCGGGCAGATTACCTGAGGTCAGTAGTTCAAGATCAGCCTAGCCAACATGGTGAAACCCCATCTCTACTAAAAATAAAAAGACAGGTCGGGCGCGGTGGCTCACGCCTGTAATCCCAACACTTTGGAAGGCCGACGCAGGCGGATCACGAGGTCAGGAGATCGAGACCATCCTGGCTAACACGGTGAAACCCTGTCTCTACTAAAAAATAGAAAAAATTAGCCGGGCGTGGTGGCGGGCACCTGTAGTCCCAACTACTCGGGAGGCTGAGGCAGGAGAATGGCATGAACCCGGGAGGCGGAGCTTTCAGGGTGTCATGATCGCGTGACTACACTCCAGCCTGGGCAACAGAGACTGTCTCAAATAAATGAATAAATAAATAAATAAGCCGGGCATGATGCAGGTGCCTGTTATCCCAGCTACTCAGAAGACAGAGGCAGGAGAATTGTTTGAACCTGGGAGGCGGAGGTTGCAGTGAGATGAGATGGTGCCATTGCACTCCAGCCTGGGCAACAGAGCAAGACTCCATCTCAAAGAAAAAAAAAAAGAAGAGTGATGATGAGCCGTGCCCCTTCACAGTCAGCCACATCCTGTTTGGTGGGGTCACACACCATCTCTGGCCAGCGTTAGCTCGACCACATAAAGCTGCACCCCTGGCGGACTCCACACTCCACTGAGGCCAAGGCTGGAGGGGAGGCATTTCTGCCCACAGAGCTTCATTTCTGCTCCTCAGTGACTAAAAAGCCTGCGGGAGACGGGGGTGGAGGGACTGCACACCCAGAGCCCCACACAGACCTGAGCTACTATGAATCCTAGTCCTGCAAACAGCAGCAGGAAAACCCACTTCAGCGTGTGACCTCAAGAGGGACTTGGGAGAGAGGACGCTTGGACATCCCAAGGCCTGAATGGCCAAAATTCCAGGAAGATGATTTCACTCGCTTGCTTCACGATAAAGCCCTCAATCTTCCCAGGCTTCGTAAATGTCCCTGCACAGACACCAGATGGCCCACAGCTGCACTTCCCGGAAAGCCCACCGGTCTGTCACTGCCGACTCACTGCCAAGAAAACCTCAGTCAACAGCAGAAGGTGCTGGCTCTGTGGATCCTGGAAGTCTGTGACTGGCCATGGCCACCCAGTGCAGAGGTGGGAAACAGCTGTTCTCCCGTACTGTCTCTAGAGGGGTGATGACACTCACAGGCATCAGCTTGCAGATGAAAGGCCTAGATGTGTAAAGCAGGGCTCGCTGCCTGGGTTTCCTAAATCCCGGGCCACCCTCCTGCAAAGCTCAAGAGAGGAGAGCAAAGGACCCTTCAGTGCAGCAGAAACCACCAGACAATGGGAAAGGTGCACAGCGACCCATCAACCCGAGGTCCCAAGGGGCCTAGAGTCTCACATTCACTAATGAAACACGGTCTGTGGGGGGGGTGGGGGAACAGGCAACAGCAGCATAAAATCAATGTCTCCCCTGCCTCACAGCACTTCTGCCATCTCTCAGATCATCCAAAAATCAGGTGCCACCTGTACTGCTCCAGGTCACGTGGTCAGTCCGCACACAGCCTTCATAGAAGCTGAGAGCCGCAGCCCAACGTGGTGGCTCACACCTATAATCCTAGCACTTTGGGAGGCCAAGGTGGGCAGAAAAC